CTCGATCCGAGCGATGGATTCTATTGAGATATTTCCCGATCCTGATTTCCAAAAGGGTTTAACCGACTCTCTTTCATTCTTTGTTCTACAATCGTGGGAATTTTTAACATTATTTCAATCCACATTACAAACGATAGTGAGTTTCAACTTGTCGAAACCTGTGGTTCTTTTTCCCAGAACTTGTTCACGCGAATTTCAATCAATTCGTCATTTATAATGTGCATCCATACTTATATACAATTAAATATCAAACTTCTACTCAAGGGGGTACAAATGTTTTAAAAGTTAATTTATACTTACGTATGGAACCCCGGGGGAACATGAGGGATGCAGATTATAAATGAGGGGAGACTGCGGAACGTCGTATCGACGAGACGGAGTCAACTATGAAACTGGATAATAACAAACCCGGAGATTACTCCAAATTCTGCGGGGAAGAATGCAAACGCCATTTCAGAGCAAGATGGCCATCGATTCCCAGGTGAAGTGGCAATACATCGCGAACAGTTCAAAAGTTTTTCTCGGGTTTGGCGGGGAGTTAATGATGGTATCAAGATGACTTGCAAGGGGGTTTCGACCTCAGTTTATTGTTAAAACTTGTATTATTGTATTAGAACACGTTTTTTATACATACCAAACAAATTGTTATGACAAAAAATATATTTGCTTTGAGAATTTTTTAAATGTTAATACCTGTTTACAAACCTTAAAATCATCCACATTATATTTATTCGTCAAAGAATTAAACTTCCAAAAATAAAAAGAACCGATTCAATTAGTTGGTATATTTTTTTTATATAAAATAACAAAAGTTAGTTAGCAAGTTAAAATCTTTTTAGAAGCAAACAGAGCTCCTGACAAAATCAAATTTGTGTTATAAACAAAACAGAAAATCAATGAAACACAAAAGTTTTGTTGAGATCTTTTCATATCGTGTGATCACAATTATTCATTGTATAATATATATGAACGTTATATTTTATATTGAAACAAAAGATACATCATGAATAGAGACTCGTGGTGAGGGGTTCACGTAGTTCAGTAGGGGAGGGGAGGGTAGGAGGATAGGTCCAGGGCAGCCACAGTGGTCATCCTCACTTTCTTAGCCTTATAAAAGCAATCCCGTGTCGCTCGGATTAGGTCCTATGTGCTCTTTATTTGAGTATTATTATCGATTATCGGCACAAGGGCATGTGCAGGGGGGGAGAGTGATTAAGCCTCAGTCTTCGCGCTCGGCTTTGCCTCCAACAATTAGACAGATCCCCCCGTCCCATCCGATTCCCCTTCGATCGATCGATTAAATATTCAGACCTTCGTAGTCTGACGTCCTATACAGTTCGTATGATGGATATTCAGAAATGATCAAATCCTTGAGTCCCCCTCCCCCGCCTCCGCAACACAATGCTAGCTCTTCTCTTTATCTCGCCGAGTTCTGTTCCCAATCCGTTCCGACCGCTTTTCCATCACCCCTTAAGTCACTCCGCGTTACGTGTCTTTGGTTCGTTAGGGTAAAAGTGTTCTCGATTTCCGCGTATCCCTTTTAATAAGATTAAGAACTTTGTTATGCCCTCGTACGCATCGGTATTGAGTCTTTTGTTTTCTAATTGATATGTCGTGTTGCTAAAGGGGGTTTAAAGTATCTCTTAAAAATAGTTTTTTAAAATAAACAATTACTTTTACCGACGAATGTGTTGACACTTTGTTCATTAAAAACTCAAATTACTGTTACAAAGAATAATAGGTATGTACAATGTACGCAAATTTATTTTCAACGTCACCACCAAATTTTTTATAAGATCTAATATTATCTTACTCCCCAAAACAGAAAATAGCCGCATGAGAACATGGAGTGTGTGGTGGTGACGTGTGCGGGTGATACACCCCCGAGCTCACTTTATCTGAGTAACACTTATCTAGGGGATGGTCTGCAACACTAAACTGACTTGGTGCTATACCATCTGCAGTTCAAAGGCCACATTTTTCACTTCAATAATCACGAAATATTGTCACTATAAACAATTTGTCTTATAAATTACTAGGAACAATTAGTTACAATTTTCAAATGTCTTGATTGTGAGAAAATCTCTTTCTTCATGACCTGATGACGGATCGGATTCTAGACCCAGAAACGTCGTGAAAACTTTTTTTGTGACGTAAATTTCTGCAATCCCTTAAATAGCATAAACAACCATAAAAAAGTATTTCAAACAAATACTACTACATACGCGATTGTAAGGATATAACCTCTAACCCGCATTTGTATTTTAAGAAAGATCATAAAGGAGGCAACTCAAAGATTTAAGTTAAAAATTCGTCCTTGGGGCCACTACTCACATGGTGAAGTTGAAATTTTTGAGCATAAAATCGTCAAAGATGTCACGAATTGGAACTTTCACCAGGGCGGTACTCCATACATGACCGACCCCTACCTAGGATTTAGCCCGGTTAATAATGCGACTCGAGTCAATGGCTGAACTCGTAAGGTGACTGCCCATGATCATTAATAATGAAACAAAAATGTAATGCTAGGATGGCAGAGGATAGCACGCGAACCCAGCTGTCCGTGCTAGCCAATTAACGTCCACTTCCTTCTTCAAATCCACAATCATTCTAATTTTAATTACTGTTCGATGAATTCATAGATTGGTAGGAGCGAATTTTTCAACCAGATCCGACAGTGGAGACTGATTCCTTCTGTCAATTTGTATAATTTCATTTTCAATGATTGCTGAACTGTAAGAAATTTACAAGAATTGAATGTTACTAAAATATCTCTTTTAACACTACTCGATATATTTACCCTTGTACTTACAAGATTTATTGGTAAAAATATAAAAGATGTTACAATGACAATCGATTTCGAATATTCATCTGACCATTGGCAGTTATAATTTCGCAACTAAACATTTTTAACTGTATTAATATTTCGTCTTCTGGAAAATGAATAATCAGATAATAGGCCTACTATTAAAAGGTTGGTTTTCTTCAAAAGTAATTTATATGTTCGCTAAAAAATAAGAAATATTCATTACAAAATGTTGATTAAATTGATTGAGCAGTAAAACTTATAGCGTATATTTTACAGTGTCATTAAATGTGCCAGCATGATTTTGACTCTAATCGCAATCGATATAATTGCTTTAAATTTCTCTTTATACTTGTACTTAATAATAATAAATATAACGTAAATACCAATAACTTAATTATTAATACTTAATTTATACTTAACCTGATAAATTGAATATTAAACTTTTATCATTATATATTTAATCATTATCGGTTTTTAACCCTGTGAGTAGAATTGTATTGGATTAATATTTCAGTAAACTCTCCTTTAGTAGCTTCACAATCAAAAACAATAGAATACACTGTTATAACCGAACAATTTTATTTTATTTCCTCTCACCATCAAACCAAAAATAAAAATCGAATTCATAAATATTATTTTATTCCACCACATCAATTTATAGAATTTTTTATTCCACAAAACATAATTCTTAACTTAGTAAATATACAGAATGCAGATCGCTAAAACAGCCTATTAGTCCTGCGGCAAAAGCCGAATTTGTCAAGACAAAAGTAGACGGCACTCTATAATCGAAGTCTTTGTTTGATTTTCATTATGTCTGGAAAGACTTGGGGAGTTGATCAGCTGATTGTTTTGCCGCGTCGATCTTCACTAACTAATCGTCTGATATTCACCATTATAATTACCGCTCTTCTCGATCTCTTAAATTATTTCCCTTATTCGATCGTTAATGTTCACTTCAATTCCATTCCAAATTTGTCAAACGTCCACTTAAGTATTTTACATTTATCAATTGCTTTCAATTGATAATTTTATTTTGAACAGTTTGTTCTAACATTACAGCAGTTTAAAGCTAAAAAAATAAATATTTGCTCTACATGATGGAAATTAAAGTTTTAAAAATAATAATAAATGAACTCGATTTGCTCGGATTTTTATCTAAATAAAAAATTTAAATAACAAGCAAATTCATGCCTTTTTGACTTTGGATATCATTTAACGAGTTGAAATTTGACAAGTGTTTATATTCTTTCATACGTCTTACAGATAAAATATCCCTTAAGAAACCGGGCATTTCTAAGTAATTAAAAAACATAATTTAAAACCTCTTGCGATTTCTTTGACGAATTAAGTTTCGAGTCAGTAATGAAGGTATCAGAAATGTTTATTGTTGCTCCGAATCCTCGCTTGGGACCCGTTCCCGAATATGCGCGAGGTCTTAAAAATAATTTGCATCAAGTAACCGTGAAATATTTTCTCCTAATTGCTGCAATTGGTGTCTTGGGACGCCTCGTCCCTATAGTTTGGTCTTGACGAACCTCCTCCCCCCCAAAACACCCCATCTACCCCCCTAAAATACTGACTGAGGGTGTAGATTGGGGCTGAACGAGAGCTGACAAAAACAATCACAATAGAAAACAATGTCAAGATTTTTATTTTTATATTTTTCAATTTAGTACTAAATTTTCACAAGTGTATAGTTGAATCAATAATATTTGTTTTGGGAATTATTATTTTCAAGATAAATTTGTCAAAAAATTACAATATTTAGTTAAGAGTCCCCTTTGTAGAGTTTTCATTAAAGGCAAAATAGGAACTTTCGTGGTTGAATAAACGTTGAATGTATTTTATATGGTGCTTAAGACATTTCTTTGACTAATTAATTATGTAAAATATTATTTTATACTAGAACACATTCGGATTTTTACTCTTCTTCTATATGTGTTCCATTCACATTCATCATGTGTCCATCATCTGCATGTTTTCACATATTTTTTTTTCAATCTGTTAAGATAAACCCCACCTGAGAGTAAAAAAATTAAAACTAAATTAATGATTGAAAATAATTAGTGACATATTGAAAAACATATTTACCGACCGACCGTAGCTTCTATTGACAATGTACAGTACATTAAACATATATTTAAAACAACCACAGTAATTTTCAAGCTAATAAATACTCTTTTTTCAGATTTCCCAATTAATCGAAGATGTACAAAGACTGCAGTCAAGTATCAGCAAACTACAAGAGAGTTCTGCAAACCAAATAGCAAGACTAGAGGAAGAGTTAGACCATAAGAGGCAGCACATTTCAAGGCTGGAAGCAAGATTGGATGCCCAAAGAGACTATGAGGAACTGAAGCGTCAGCTAAGGTAAAACATGTTCCAGTTCAACAATAATAACAGTGTTAATAGTACATTCAATTGTTTATTTCCCAAAAATTGAGGAATATCCAATCTGCGGATGTGTTAGGGGATAATATTGGGGGAGGGTGCAGAGAAAACTTTGTTTCTGAGCTATGGTTCCATTTTAAGTGACGATTGCAAGATATTCTGTTCTGACTTATTTTATTTTTCTTCGGTCAGATTTATTTTACTAAAATATTGTTTAACTGATTTGCTAAGCAGTATTGTATGTAAAATAAATAAACCTAACCACAGAAAATAATTTACTTGTTGGTAGGTTTTAACTGAACGCCAACAATACCAATGAGTTATTCTGTGATTTCAGTTTCTTGAAGTCAATAGAACTACCCCCCAACAGTGATGGGGATGTGAAGACTTTGGAAAGTTTGCTCTTAGAGAGGACCAAGACAGGCCAGCATTCTGAGAGCAACAAGGCACCCCCATGTTCAACCCCTTCTGATATTCATGGTGAGTTTGTCATCATCATTATCCAGGGCGAAAAATTAGGTCCTAATGATAAGCTCTAGCTATACTCTTAAAAAAATATGTTTTATAAGTAATATCTAAAGATTTTTTTCTTGAGAATGTGGAGGAAAATAGTATAAACAATTCCCTAAGGAGTACATGATTTAGTATTTCTTAAATATTTGGAAAATAATTCTGAATATTTCTGACTAACGCATCTGCTCTTGTACTAATAAGTTACACACTAATTACTTGTATTGTACACTTCACCACTAATACACACAATTTAACTTTTCTTAATTCCTCACTGTCTAACCTAATCTTGTGGGAAGTAAGTGAAGGACGTGCTTATGGGATTTTAAAGTTTATTCAACTTTGGCGATCACTTCTCAGTTATTAGTCTCAAGCTTGAGATATATATCTGCTGCTGATAGTTCCCAGTACACATATCTTTATGAGAACACTTTTAATAAATACTATAGATGAAATTTTTGTCTATACATTTCAAATTTTTGGGGATGTGACTGTTGTGGATCCTTGGCTGGTTTACTTACTGTTGCATGTTTTGGCTAGGCTCTACAGACATGAATACAGAGTCCAGTGCATCCCAGCTATTCCCTGCACCTGCACCCCCTCCACCCCAGCCACCTCTTCAGAATGTCGAGACGTTCGGTTCATTCTTAGGAGAAGAGATTGTGGCCAACTGGAGACGGTCTCTAGAACGGACTATTCTCAGTCAAGGTTCTCTTCCACATCACCTGGCTAGGGCCGGACTGCCACCCCCAGAGGGAAGGTCATCCGTTGGTGGTCCTCTCGCTTCTTCTCCGATCAACGCCTCTCCTCCACCTTCTCACACACCGACCTCTAACCCCGACGATGCTGGTAAATGTCTTTTTCTTCGTGTTTTCTTGTTAGTATCTTATTTACTTTCCTACTTTTTGCTTTGCTCTTTTATGTTTTCTTCAATACTGGTGTGTTAGATTTATTCGTTGTAAACAGTACTTTATCAGAGACATCACATTAAAGCTACATATATTGGTTGGTGGTTTGTCTAAGCATTAAATTTGTGGGTTCGCTTTCAAACACATTGCTTCTTTTGAGCGCACATTTTATTGATGCTGATTTTGGTGTTTGGTGCAGGCAAATTGAGGTTTGAGGAGCAAGAGAGAGAACGAGAGCGGGAGAGAGACAAGGAGAGTGCTGAGAGAGAGCATGAGCCTGCAGTCACTTCCTCCTCTGGTAGCCATCGACCTTCCAGCTCACCTGCAGTATCGGGTGACGTTCAACTCAACGGCAGCTCTACACCTTGCAAGAGTCCAGCGGCAGAGTCCGATGGCTTCAACAACAACTCTCCCCACCTCAATAACAACAACAACATGCCCGGAAGTCTAGTCAATGGTTTTTGTGGTCTCAGTGTTGGCCTGAACAATAATGTTCTTCATCCCTCGTCGCAACTGAACTTCAATGACGTCATGAAGAGTCCCTTTCGATTCGATGACCGTTCTCCTTTCCGATTTGGCAATGACGAACCGGGATCGATAGTGAGCCGGTTTGGTGAATCGTTGATCCCAAAAAGTGATCCGATGGAAGCACGCCTACAAGAAATGTTGCGGTATAATATGGACAAATACTCTACCCAGAATCTGGACACACTACATATCGCCCGAAGAGTGCGAGAGTTGTTATCTATTCACAATGTTGGCCAGCGATTGTTTGCCAAATATGTGTTGGGACTGTCTCAGGGCACTGTGTCTGAACTGCTGTCCAAACCCAAACCATGGGACAAGCTCACAGAGAAGGGAAGGGATAGCTACCGCAAGATGCATGCTTGGGCTTGTGATGATAATGCTGTCCTGCTTCTCAAGTCCCTCATACCAAAGAAAGGTAAACAAATAATCAAGTTTTTCTACAGTATACATAAATTTAAAGTGAAATGAAAATTATTTTAATAAAATTATTCGAGCTTGAGAAACAATTTATTTTGAATATGTTCATTTCTTCCAATTTTTCATTTCAAATTACTTCAGATTGTCCTAACTAACCAAGTATACTAAAGTTATCTTCAGTAAAACATAAATACATTACTATCACTAGTCACTATCCCCATTTTGGAAGTACTCACTACGTACTTTGGTATAATTTCTATTTTTACATATTAAATTTATTTTTCCAAGCAAAGCTACAATTTAAATTTATCATACAATACCCTAAACCCAGCCAAGAGGTAGTTAATTTTCATCTCGATTTCCTTTAAACATATCCTTTGAAAGCAAATATTAGCCTATACAATCAATCAAGTGAGCTGAGCTAAGTCAACAAAGGTCTAAATAAAGTGGTGTGGACCCAGCTTTGTCTTAAGCTCATTCATTAGACCGGACAAGCAAGAGGTGAACTCATTGGCACTTGTTCCAAACCTACTCCTGCCTAATGACTTTGTAAGTTGAGAATAATGAGCTTGCGATGCCCTCCCCACTGACCTATGACCCTCACTGCTGCTACTACATTAGCTCACTCCCCCTTCCATTCTCCTCAACCACTATTCCCCACTCTAAGTATTTTGGAACCTGTGTTGGCTACTATTTATTGTTACATTAAACCAACTCCATTCACTCTTGTTCTACTCCCTCCCCTACTTTCTTGGTCTTGACCATTAATATTTCCATTAACCATTCCCTGTAGAAGCACCACTGCTTGCAAGGGTTGAGGGAACTAATTGAGCCAAATTAATTATAAATAATAGATTACGTAACCAGACAAGTTTGATTTATCTTACAATATGAATGCAGACATTTTTAATTGTTACATTAAAATATTTTTAACAATAAATTTTTAAAAATAATTTGAAGAAGTCAATAATATCTTCAGGAAAATAATTTGTTTAATAATTTTAAAATCTGATACTCTCAATGCGTTATTAGTTTTAATATAACTAACTTCCAATACTCTTTGTGACTTTTTTTTATCTCTTTGTACAGAAATCACAAACTGGAATGCAAATGATATACCGGTATTTAATTTTTTCAATTCTCATGTACATATGATGAATAAATTCTTTACCACCATTTTCAACAAAAAGGGAAAATATAAATAACATTTTGGCTTATATTGATAGATATATTTACATCATAAAACATTATTCTGAAGTATTTATTTTACTTCCTTGATCTTGCTTTCAATTAGATCCTAGGCTTCAATTCTTCTTAGAAGTTGCAAAAATGCAAGAATTGTTGTTGTTACAGGGGTTGGTCCAGGCAAGGATAGTGGCATACCAGCTATGTTTGCTCGCGAAGGAGAGATGACTGAAGAAAGGATTGCTCACATTCTGAGCGAAGCAAGCCAAATGATGAAGACTGAAGATAGTCTTCATAGCAATGACGACAGTCGTTCACCTACCCAGCCACAGGTAAACAAGCCATCTTTGCAGTTAAGGAACGCCCCCTAGGGTTTGGACATCCCTTAGATGCACAAACAAATGTCTCTGGCTCCTTTGGATACTGAAAATAAAATATTACCCAAATCCTTGGATGGCAAAAATGAGGAGTAGTCGGCTTCAGAACACTCTGATTAATTTTTCTAAAATAATTTTGAAATACTGGAAGTTGTGGAGGTTTTAGATATAGAAAGGAGCCAGACTATTGTACCCTTAGGGAAATTATTTGTAAATTAAACCCATCTAGATTAAAAATGATACCCAGTATTGTACCATTCTAGAAAATTAGAGAAACATGAGGAATATACCAATACCCCAGACTATGGGGTTGAATGCCAAAGTTCAGAGAGACAATAAGATACCTATGTACGAAGGATGCTTTTCATACTAGTCAGCCAGAGATCACAACAATGCACTAGCAACTTTTGTTGTTTGTAACCAATATGACTTCTTTACTATGATAAAAGTCATAAATCCATCTAGAGTAACTGAAACTTTGTTCTTGTCTTTTGAATTATATTTCACATTAAACTTTCTGGCCAAAAGCTCATATTCACTGCCTATGGTTACTACCATATCTTAAACTGACTGTAGTCATGAAATGTATTTTTGTTTCCAGCAATGCCCATCCCCCATGAACAAAGGAGGTGACAACTCTCAAAACAGGAAGCTGAAGAAGTATGAAAATGACGATATTCCTCAGGAGCAAGTAGTGAGGATATACCAGGAGGAATTGGCTAAACTGATGGGGAGGAGGTTCGAGGACTCCATGAGGGGAGAACAACCTTACCCTGGGTAAGATAGTTGCAGTGATAGAAGAAAAAACTCCCAAAAGTCTTCCCAAAAGTCTTGTAAATGTAATGGGAGAATAAAGTAAATTTCTTAAATGATTGCGATGCTGGTTTTTTTTTTTCAAAAGTAAGTTTGATTTAGTAATACTTGCTGGCACATATAAAATAATATTCTAACAAATGTGATTTGGAACTTATGACTATTAGAATCGAACACCAAAAGTTGGTTGAGACTTTCAAATGCATCCTAATCTCTTTAATTGAATGTTAATAATATTACTAATGTCTGTTCGTTCTGATTCAAAAAATTATTTGTTTGTCTTCAATATTATTTTGACCAATTTCAGACTGCTGTTCCCCCACTTCTTCGGAGGAGGAGCTGGAGCGCCAGGATCTGCTGAAGACATCCGGATGGCCCTGGACGCCTACCACCGAGAACTGGCCAAGCTGAACTCCCAGTGTGGCGTAGTCCCAGGCGGCCTGCTGGCACTACAGCACCAGGCGCTGAGTCAACAACAGGCGCAGGCACAGGCGCTCTCTGGACACCACAACGGTATGGCCCAAGACCTATCCTTACCAAAGGAGCGCAAGGAGGCCAAACTTCCGAATGGTGAGCTCGAGTCAGTGCGCCATGTTAGGCCGAAGGCTGAACCAGGTGTGTGCCCGCGTAGCGCACCAAGGAACTTAATGTTAGATAGTTTTGAGTAAAAATTATCTAGGTTCCTGACCTCACTGAATTACGCCCCTTTAAAAATGAGTTCTCAAGTAAAAGAAACTATCTAGGATCTGCAACATTTGGGTATACAGCCATCCTATATTAAAAACTGAAAAATGATTACAAACTTGAAGTTAAAAACAAAAAGGAGAAATACTCAAGTATCTGCATAAGTAAATCGCAAGGAAATAACAAATCTGTGCCACCGAACTGACTAACTTGAATCACCTATTCATACAGTTTTCAAAATCATTATATTTTTCTAAAACACTTATCTAATCCTCATGATGAAATTCTTACATTGAAAAAATCAAACAGGAAGTCAAGAGGAATTTTATCTCCTAGGAAATATTAAATGAAAATTGTAAAGAATTATTGGCTAGTTAACTCTAGTAGTAAGATGAATGACTAATTTGTCAGTGATTTTAACCTCCGCCGTGTTGCTTGCAGGTATGTCCGCTGGAAGCTCTGCTAGTTCACCCCTTGGCAATTCCATTCTTCCTCCAGAAGACTTCTCCCCCTCAGCAGCAGTCAGTCCTCTTCAGAGGATGGCTTCTATAACCAACGCTCTCATCTCTCAACCCACCACACCCCATCATCACTCACCCTCCCAGCGACCTCTCAAGGCTGTGCTTCCTCCCATCACCCAGCAGCAGTTTGACCAGTTCAACAACCTCAACACTGAAGAAATTGTGAGAAAGGTAAATTTAGTTTTTAAATCTATAATAATCAGCATCAGTCAAAGTCAGGGTTGACCAAATCTCTGAGGTACCCATAGGATTTAATTAAATAAATTATTGTAAAAATATTATTCTCATTGCAATGGTTGGAAAACTTCTTGCTGGTGAAGTACTCAACATACTTTCTAAGGGCTCTTACGAATTTGACTGGAGTTTGGACTGTTTTCTTGTGATAATTAAAGTCAATGACAGACAGAGAGTGAACTGTTGGCTTCCTGAAATTGTATCTTAAATTATAGGCGATGTCTGATTTTACCTTTGACATAGACATTTCTACTTTTCATATTTCACTATATCTAAAATGATTATTCAATACTTTGGTGGTTTGTAGGTCAAGGAGCAGCTGAGTCAATTTTCCATCAGCCAAAGGTTGTTTGGAGAGTCAGTGCTTGGTCTCTCGCAAGGCAGCGTCTCTGATCTCCTAGCTCGTCCCAAGCCATGGCACATGCTCACGCAAAAGGGCCGAGAACCGTTCATCCGAATGAAGATGTTTCTGGAAGATGACAATGCTGTTCATAAACTTGTGGCCTCTCAGTACAAAATTGCCCCCGAGAAACTGATGCGCACTGGAGGATATGGAATCAATTCTCGTAAGTCTAACAAAAGTTTCTGGGAAGTCTCTCTGAAGAAGTCATACTTCTTGAGATGTTTTTATAGAGAAAAGAATTACTAACACAGGATCAAATTGGATTACAAATTTAATATTTTTGACATTCAGAATTTGATTACTCATAAACATTTCTCATTAAAAAAATAATGAAAGGGAGACTATTAGCTCATGTAAAATATTTGTTTACTTCAAATTTTAAATGTATCTTTTATCTTAACAAGAATGCAAAAAAAACTAAATTATGTTATAAACGGAATTTGACACAGTTACTTTTCTCTCATATACTTAGTGATAGGGGAGACTGGGGTAATGGGAGTCACCTAAGAGAGAATCGCTGTATGACCAAGGATTTTCATCCATTGACTTTCACTGTTATATACATACGTTCCAAATATTGTTTTCTACAACATAAACCTAAGAATTGTGCCCTAGATTAATAATTTTTGAAGTTAAATTACATAAACAAAAAAAATGTATTTGACCGCCATATCCCCACTCATGGGGTAATGAGAGTCAGTATTTGATTCAATGTATTTTGCATTACATAACAGGAAAAATGGAAAATAATGAATAAAGATGCAGTTTATAAGTATTTAATTCATAATAACAGTTAGAACACAAAAATCAAACGTCAAAGTTTTCAAAATTAACATAATTTAACATTAACATAATTTAACATAATAATTTAATGACCCCCAATCCCCCAAAGCTACTGACTCTCATTACCCCGAACGCATGATTTTCTTTAACATAACCTCAAATACTAACATAAAGCTAATCCTAAGCGTACAACTACAGAAATGGATAGTGGAACATACCTTTGTTCGAAAATGATCACTCCCAAGCGAAGAAAGTTCTAGTTTATAGTTATTAACTTGATTTAAAACAGCTTAAAAGTTATAAGAAACAGAGCAAAATCTCTTTTTAATTCACAATGGCCGAGTCTCTACTGGTATGTTGACAGGAATCGGGTCAGTAGTTACCTAAACCGCCACCAAGGAGCAGCACCTGCTGGAAGCAATCTACGTTACCTAAATTTTCAAATATTTGAGTGACCCTTATTACCCCATGACCTCCATTACCCCAGTCTCCCCTATAGTTAACAGTTTTTAGTGAAAGTGATGGATATGATATAATTTATCAGTAAAAGAATCTAAGCTTCATTTTATGAACAGCAGGGTCATCCATATCAAAGCCACTGCCTCCAAGCTCCGGGAAAATGCCTCCGATGCCACCCTCACTGGATATGAAGCCAGGAGAGATGGCACTGAACCACCTGAGCTACTTGCATCCTCCGCAGCAGGCACCGCCACCACCACCTCCCCCACATCATATACCCCCGCCTCATCACCTGCAGATGAATCACAGTGTGGACCACCTCAAGAAGACTCACACCCCGTCTATGCAGCCCCAGTGTGCCACAATGCCCCCACACCAGGTCAATGCGGGGATGAGGCTAGGTCAGCAGGTCGCTCCCTCAGTCTACGAGATGGCTGCTCTCACTCAGGATCTGGACACTCAGACCATCACCACCAAGATCAAGGAGGCCCTCCTCGCCAACAACATCGGACAAAAGGTAATTGTTACGTGTGAAAAGATTGTAATGTTGAAGAAATTATTCAATCACATGAATCTTTTTACATGTTAAATTTTAAAAATCTGTCATTCTGATGTTACTAATAGTTTTGAAACATTTTTACCATTGAATATTTATTCGAACAGAAACCCATTTTAAACAATTTGTAAGAAGATAAAACTAATATAATACAACTTTTGTGTTCCAGATTTTTGGAGAGGCAGTGTTGGGGCTGTCTCAAGGATCTGTGAGCGAACTCTTGTCAAAACCAAAGCCTTGGCACATGCTGAGCATCAAAGGGCGAGAACCGTTCATCCGTATGCAGCTGTGGCTGTCAGACACAAACAACATCGACAGGCTACAAGCAATCAAAACTGAGAGGCGAGAACTCAACAAACGGAGAAGAGGGTCGGGACAGCAAGACAACAGCAGCGATACCTCCTCCAATGACACAGCAGAATTCTACCACAGCAGTGCTAGTAGTCCACCGTCAGCCGCAAAGAAACAGAGGGTGTTGTTCTCAGAGGAGCAGAAGGAAGCACTCAGACTGGCCTTCGCCTTGGACCCCTACCCGAGCTTAAGTACCATCGAGTTCTTAGCCAACGAACTGACATTGGCCTCACGCACCATCACTAACTGGTTCCACAACCACAGAATGAGGCTAAAACAACAGTCTCCTCATGGTGGGGATTCAGGTCAAGCTAACAGGGAAAACCAAGGATCAGGGTTCGATCCTAACCAGTTCCGAATGCTTCTCAGTCAACGTTTAGGCATGAACCCTATTCCCATGCCATTCCCTACTCCCTACTTCCCACCTAACCCCGAGTTAGCGGCTCTTATGCAAAGAGGTATTCTACCTATGAGAGAGCAGGACTCTGGGCTGGATCTCACGGTGAAACATGAAGCCGGTTCGGACGATGAAGACAACGAGAGTAGGTTAGATTCCGAAGATTCAAATATCGGAGTACCGGAACTTCCTCAACCACCTTCCGGGTCGAGTAGAAGAAAACCTGCAGCACCTCAGTGGGTGAACCCCGACTGGCAAGAGGAGTCGGAAGTTATCATCAACGGTGTGTGTGTGATGCAAACGGACGACTACAATGAGAGGGAGCGAGAGGGAGAGACTGTGAGGGTAGAACCGACTCCAGTAGCCGAGGAGGAGGAACAGAGAGGGTCTACTCTCCCGTCACCTGCGTCCCTACCTCTAGATGTACAGCTAAAGAAAGAACCTTCCAACGAAGAAAACCAAACAGTTGAGGATGAGAAAATGTTACAAACTGTAAAAGAAGAAAAGTGGGATAGTGAATTTTAATAAAATTTCCCATTGAATATGGAATTGAAACGGGTAAATGTTAATTGTGCGGTGTTTATAATTACGTAAAATGCAATTCTGTTTATATGTTAATATACGAGTGGTAAGACATCTTTTGTTTAATTCATAATATCATTTGATAACACCGCAACACCAGTTTAATAGTTGAAATTACTTAAACATATTTTATAAACACTGAAAATGTTGTCACATTTCAGTGAAGAATTGATCTCTTAGTATTTGAGACCTTTGAAACCAAAAAAGCACAAAACTGTACAACAATCGAACGTTATCACAATGTGCTTAGTTATGATATGCCTATTTCATATCAGTGATGTTTTTGGATGGACGTTTTCACGAATCCAGTGTTTTTAACAATGTTTGTTCGAAATTGTGTATTTAAATCGAACAGTATTTGTATCCGAAAGTGCAAATATCAAAACTGCATTCAAGTGATACATAAAGTTCAATACTTTTGCAGGCCTAACACTATGGCCTGTAAATTACATGTATATTACCATTTACGATGGAGTTAATATCAAAAGTGCAATCATTGATAATATTTATGTAGTTAATTTAGTTTATTATTCTTTTATCGTATTTTGAAATCTTTTAAAGATTAGCCCGGTGTCTCAGTATTTTTCTGTCACCAGGGTATTTATTGTTTGTAAATATATTGCTGTTGCATGTAGCCATTCTTGTAATATATGTTAAGATCAAAATTGTTTTTCTTGTACTTTTTTCTTGTTGTGTGTATATGTTATGTTGGGAGTTGTTGATATAATCAAAGATGATAAATAAGACTGGTTATCACTGTTAGTTATGATGTCACTTAGTTCAACTCTTGACAAGTACAATCGGAAGAGATGATTTTTGTTTTCACTTTAAGTATAAATATATATTATATATCTTGTTTTCCTTCGACGTTGATAATGTATCCTTATTATTGTGATAATACGAATACGAGCGAATGTTATATACGTAGGTGATCGCTTGAACATTGTTTTTATATAAATAGGAAAAGGATATCGAAAGTAATCTCTTAGGAATCTGAGGGGTAAACATTTTTTTTTCACAAACTAAACCGTTTAAATTTGTACATAAATTAAACCCCTACATTTCTGTCGGGCTGAAGCGTAAAATTTGTCTTAACTTTTTTCCATTTTAGGTTAGAATTCAAAGTAAAATATGTATCGGATACGGTTCGAACAAAGTGTATTCCAACTCAATATTAAAGGTATGCTTGTGACGTGTGTCTGTGTGTCGTATGTTTTGTACAAGACTAAGGTGGTCAAACCAGTGGTGGTAAGCTAGCCAGTCTATAGTGACCACTCGTCATAGAATCATATCATAAAATACCTCACTCGCTGCTGTAGCTTTTTAATTTTTATAGACAAATTTTGTTTCCCCGTCAGATAGAACAGAACTATGTACTCGTACTCGAGAAACAGATAAAGTTATAGCATTTCACATGGGCATTTCTCCATTCCTCGACTATAGGAATGTTCGAATTAGATACGATAAATACTGTGTATTCAAATATTCCACTGGTATAAATATATATATATTTTGCTCACAATGTTTAAAATTGTAAAGACGAAGAAAACATCACTCGAGTGATATTTTTCTAAAAGAATCTTAGTTCGCAATGATGTCCTCTAGTCTTCCTAAAAAGTCTAGTCCAACTCATCCCCAGCTGGACTTTAGAACTAACCTCTCTTCTTCTTCTTTACGTTATTTATTTAGGTTAGCTGTCTGATGACTTATTAGAAGAGCGGACATGCATCAAAATGATCTCACTTGGCACAAAATGTGCTCAAACGATTTGTCCTATCAGTACATAATTTGTGGTCAATCGCTATTGCCAGTATTCTACAAAGATTTTATTTTAGACTGTAAGGAACTGAAAATTTGGATTTATAAAATATTGTTACAAAGCTTTATCCTGTCACAGTTTTCTATCTCAGTTTCCTTTAGTAATATAATTCTCAAACGGTGATGCGCTTTTTTATTTATTCTTTGAAAGAGACCATTTATTTATTGATATGTTGTGATGCAGTATTATCCTCTATCGCATTATATAATAGATATAAATAAATATAAATATATATATATATACGGTATTAATTAAGCTGGTCCATGACCATCAGACAGCGTAATGTACAGTTTTCAACAAACGTAGTTGTAAATAAAATCCAAAGATTGTTTACATTAGACACTATATACTATTATAATTGTCATCATTATCTCTTTCTAATATGTTAACTGTTTTTATCTGTTTTTCATTATAAATACCATTGTTGAAAAATACATGTATTCGATTCTTTTTATACCTACAGTTATAGTTTTGTTATTGTGATCGAGGTATTGTTGATCGGTTAGCTTTCTTTTGTGATTTTCCATTAGCTTTGGACTTCAATGACTCAGTTGGGTTCTATTTGTTTTATAATATTTATTTTCTCTAATTTTACCAAATATGTTAAGCATTTCATTCCTTGGAAACCAAAATTATGCAAATATAAAGAAAATTGTTTTATTAGTCGTATTTCTTCATTGTAACAACAATATTTTTCTCTTTCACTACGTATGATTACTACAACCTGAATGTAAATAATTCATCCATATCATTGTGTCTTCATTAATAAAATGAAGTTTCTAAAATACACACACTCGTTTTGATTGGTCTATGTCCTCCTAATACTAAATAACTCAATGGCTACTTTTATGAAGTAATTGCTTCTTATTACAGTACTCCACAGAGAAGTAAGAAACAGAGGATACATGCAATGGTATACTTAAGTGGTGTCTAGAGCAAATGTTATTCTTTGTCCCCTTCCACTCTCCTTTCCCCCTTTGCAAATATCTTGTGCGCTACAACTGCTGTTCAACAACGCTATGTGGCCATCGCCATTCAAGCTCTTTCTGGTTTGGTACAAGTACATTTCCACCCTAACATACCAGAGCTAAAAGCGCAGTTGTCCCATAAGTATATTTCCTCTGTATCTTACTTCTCTGTGAATACTCACATTTCTTGTCACTATTAGACAACTTTCACATTAAGAATAACGTAATAAGCTATAATTTTGCTCAGCAATAAAATAATGTATACGATAAACTGAATTTATTTCTTATTAAATTGATTTTCTTTATCTTTTACGCCATGTAAAATGTGTCTACAATTGTATGATTTCAAAAGAATTATCCTGAAAGACTATCAGTAACAAAAACCACAATATACATGTTTATTGGAAACTTGTGCTTGTGATAGTGGAATACACAGGGATAAATTTGAAATCATCCAAAGCTAAAATAAGCTTGTACAATAAAAGTTTACTGAAGAGAGCAAAACTTAATGAGATGTACTACTGCAAAAACAGCATTGGTTGTCAAGTCCAAGAGCTTATGATTCTTAACTCCAAACAATTTACTATAAACCATACCTTATAAACAATAATCCATTTTATTATTTGCATGATACTATGATGCTAAAATAGAAAAGAGGTGATTTAAAAAAATATGCTTTAGAAAATCTCAACATTTCAATGTTTTTGGTGTAAGAAATTATTAGTCAAAACTATTGACAACATATTTTCATTTAAAAAATTGCCAACAATTTTCATTTTTAGAAATATTTTGTGTTGAGGTGGTTAAGTTGTATAAGGTACATCACTTTTGAGTTCTAACCGGAAGAAAGAAGAACTTAGAAGTGTATCTTTTTGAATAAAAAAGATTTTACCCAACTGGTTTTCAAACATTGAATTCTATTACTGTCTGGTCAGATTACTTGACCCTCATCTAACTAAGAACTTAAACAAAAGGATCCCAGAAAAAAATATTTTTATTACAAGTCTTGTGATTACACACATAAGTAAGGTACAGAGGAAACACTCAATTGTACACCTAAGTGGTGTCTAGCACTAGTAGTGTCTAGTTCTAGGGAAAAACCCAACAGCCCCCATTGCCATCATGTGGTACATTGCTGAATGCTCATGGTGGAAGCACCGCTCAGGCTCTTGGTTGCTCGTCAGTATATTTCCGACACAACATACTAAAGCTGAAGGCACACGGTCGTCCCATATGCTAGTTTCCTCTGTACTTCTCTGTGATGATTAGAACTTGTGAGGAAGCTTCCCATAATTACAGAAAAACCATCAGAGAAAGCTTGATTGGTCTATTTTCTCAGGGGATCCAAAGGAAAAATAATTGGTACCGTAGTAAATATGTAAATATGTTCACTCTCCACTCTGGTCAAGATATAAATTTGGCCTTTAGTGGATGGACATCGCAAATGTATTTCTTGCCAAAAAAGACCTACCCTCTTTTGTAACCCAGTGGGTGGAACTCCTTCATAACGTGGGCACCAGATCATGGCATCTTCATAAATCAATATCATTGGTGATAGGTGGGAATCGAACTAGGCATGCAGGACCGATATCCTACTATCCAAGCATTTGACGAGCCATAATTTATTTTTATGGTATATCTATGCAAATGCAGAATAAACCAAGTTTAAAAATGCTAAAAACTACCAAAAGATCCTTTTTTTCCTAGGACGCTATATGCTCAAGGCCAAGATCTTTTTCCACATAACTTCAGACTAGAACTAGGGGTTGCAACATACATTGCTCATTTGGCTGGATTTTAACCCTGGACCTCATCAGAGACAAAATTCCCACCAATAGACCAGCTCGCTCCCCTAAGGTGTACTGTGAAGGATTTATTTTAAACTATTTTATGACCATCACATATTTAGTGACACTCTGACTTACCCCTTCATGAGGTTTCCTATATTCTGCAGGGTTCTGAATAATTGGATAGTATGATTATAGAAAATTTTAAAGAAGGCCTACAGCAAACCCTTTTTAACCCAGATTAAATAAATAATTCAAGCTATGCAATTGAATGTCGTCTGCAATTAATCAAATAAACTAGATATGATAAAGGCAAGAGTATTCCAGGATTGTTTGGGTATCACTTGTATATGTTGAAAAACAGTGTAAACCACTATATAACTGTAAACTTTATAACAAAATTGAAGTTTTACAGTGTTGTTTTAGTAAGCTAGCTTTAACATACAAACAATTAATTGTCAAATATGGCTGTCCAGATTAATTACCTCTTAATGGTGTCTGCCACAGAGAAGTGTAAGGTACAGAGGAAACTTGCCAAGGGGGCAAATGTGCGCTTTCAGCTCTAGTGTGGGAAATATATAATTGTGATGAGCAGCGAAGATCCCGAGTGGTGAGCACTGTGAAGAAATTCCTATCACCCAAGGCACAGGGTCTTCCTCCACCATGATCGTTGTAGATCATGGGGGCAAGGGGGTGGTGTTGGACTTTGCCCTAGACACCATTACTAGTGCTAGACACCAGCACTAGCAGTAGACACCATACACTTAAGTGTACCATTGATAGTTTCCTCTGTATCTTCCTTTTCTGCGTGTTCTGTTTTCTGTTTCTGTGTGAGAGTTTATTGTATTACTACTAGTTCAAAAGGTCTATGATTTTTAAATTGGAAATGACTAAGAAGGTGGCTGATGGAAAATAAAATACAATAACTTTAATGAAACTAATGAATTTGTAATTGTCATAAATAATAAATAATTTAGTATTTAATAAATATAGGCATTTGACACATATCACAGGCAAACACTTTTCAATGCAAGTTCACATTTTGTCTCACTGATTTATAATCCAAGCCATGAAAACAAAAGACACTTTGGACGAATAATGGGCCTGTAGTATAGCTGACATAGACCACCGCACCTGCATAAAACATACCAATAAAACACATTAGTTCAGACTTATTCAAGCTCTCATAGGATTTAAACACAATCTCACATCTAAATACATTTAACACATAACCTTTTTTTTAAGAGGTTGGAGGCCTTTTTTAACCTTGCATTTGCCCGTCCACATAGACTGACTGCCCATGCATGGAACGTATCCATCAAAGCAAGGGGTGAGCCAGTACAGTACAAAGTTGAACTGTGTACCGATAACATGTTTTCAGCAGTGACCAGGATCCAAACCCACAACATCGCTGCTTTGGCCCGAAGAAATTTTAAGCAAGATCAAAATACAAATTTTTGGAATAGTTTGAATTAGGTGTAGGGGCTGTCACTTTGAACATCTTCGAAAGATGCCCGAGGTCCTATAGTGTGTCTTCCTCATTGCTATCTAAGAAAGCTTTAAATCTTTAAAAATATACAAATTTCTAAATGGATTGTTATTTTATTTTATTTAAAAAACTGTTCTGAATGTTCAAACTTTCATTTGTTAGATATGATGTTAAACCAAGTCCTTATGGATAGTTCTTTTATTAGTTTTAGGATTGAGCAATGCTCCCCCTCACACCTCAACACCATACAAAATTTTCAAACTCATTAAAGCTAAAATATACAAGTTCTGTGAATAAAATTCTTAATCAAGCTCCTGTTGCATACAAAAGGTTTATGTGAAATCTGGGACAAAGGTTGTGTTCCTTATTTCATCCACTAAGACTCCAGCCGTCTCCCTACCATAACGAAAGATTAGTCTTGCCGAATATGTTGTGAAATACAAATTATACAGAGAGTAAATAAAAATATGTCCAATAGCATTTGAAACATATATTAACACTTATACTGTTTCAACAAGACAATAAATATATATATAAACGATGGTAATGGTGATCATTTGGATTGCTCACTCCAATCATCATCATCAGACCGAATAGGCGAATGGCAAGAATCTTGAATGGCGTCCCTACTTATATCCTATTGGCTACCGTAAGTACTGGCCAAGACATTTCTTTAAGTAAAACTGGAGCCAAAATTTACTCATCAGGAAAATCATTTACATCAGAAAAATTATGCTAACGCCAAGTAAAAATCACCTTCTGTAATTAGATTTCTGTGGCATATCCCTAATGGTGTCTCTATCTACAGCTTTAATAACTAAATCAAGATATTTTGAAAAACCGGACATAACTATAACTAAGATGTTGCTTTCAAAGACCTTACCGAAGATATCAAAATCAGGGGGCTAAGACATCTAATATGCTCCCCAATGGGCTGTATTCGAGACAAAGTAAGTCCAGATCACTTTATAAATAACATCCTTCATTTTCAAAAAAGTACAAAAGCTAAGGTCACTATGGTTTGTTATTCGCACAAACCTCTTCAGATGCTAAAGAATGGTTTAACCTACAAGGACTTCATGCTGCGGATGAAACAACTAGTAAGTGAGATACCTAAAACCAACACATCAATTTCTACTGAAGCTGAAGCAATATCCATTGAACCGGTAGCTGATTTTACTGATCTTGTGGAGACTGCCATTGATTCTACAACTGTCAACAACGAAACACCTACTGCATCCGTCACTCCTGTTCCATCTCACCTTACTTCAACGACAGCAAGCCAGTGTGTAAAAGTGATTGTGGCACCCGGCGACCTCTCATATAAGGAGGCGCTAGAGCAGAGTACCAGTGATAGTGCTATGAGTGATCCAGTATGTCCAAGCCTCAGTGGCTCTATGGTTCAGTCACCTCACAAGACTTTAAACTTATTAGATCAAGTGACTCCACCAATAAAGTAGCACAGTTCAAATATTCAGTTGCAATTTTTCATCAAAATA